TGCTTTCAACTTTCGTACCAAGAAAGTATCTGCTTATGGGGTGGATAATGAGATTGTTGAAGAAATACAAAAATTTCATTACCCTTTTCAAAAGCTACTCATCAAAAAAGCTTACGCAGTGATGAAAAAAAATTGAGAGTGGAAAGAATGCCCCAGGTCTGATTTCACTCGACTGTTCATAAATAAATATGTTTGGAGAACATTTCGAAGAAAATGGATTTGAAATTTAGAACAAATCACCATACAGAGAAGAACTGAATTAATGGAAAGAGTGTGGGCTGACTTTCATTGATTGATCAGATTTTATTCTCTAACCCCATTGGTTAATAATGATACCCAAATGATTGTGACGGTCTGAGCATCGAGAAAGGTACACTAGGACGCGTATGCTGCGATGCAACTACTACCGGAATGTCTTGATGCTGTCAAATATCGCGGTAAGATAAATTCACCAACGTTCTTTATGTGTATCTGTTATTATTATGGTATTTGACAACTTCCGGTACCCCTGTATATCAACACGATATTGGTTTGGATTCACGTAGGCTTTTGGGAAAGCACGGATGAGCCTTCCCTCAAGAAATTTTTAGATTTTCGACTCTCAAGTGGCGACATAGAGGACAGGAAAATCGAGTACGCTCGGTATAATAATGAACTAATTACTATCGCCAGATATTATGCCGAGGAATCAGCAGTTGGCCGGTGTATATCAAGTTGGAAAAATGCGTTCATGGCAAGTGTATAATTGTGTTTCATTAGTACAACGAACAAAAAATATCTACAAACTTTAATGTTTGTTGTGGGCGACCGTAATGTTTATTTTACGAATTCATGCTCATTGTTGAGTACGCCGACTAGATTGCATGAATCAAATGTTTGTTGTGGGATTATCTATTGGTGAACCATGGAATTTGGAACAAGCGAAATATAGATATTCAATTATTAAAGGCAGTCTGGGTGCTTCCCTTGATTCTTGATGTTTCTGCATATGAACAGCCACTAGTAACGAAATCTGCTAGGTACAAGTATTCAAAACTTTATTATTATTATCATTTATAGCAAAGTAAGCGGTCAGCAGCAATAAAACAATTCTGGAAAGTTGAAAACGAAAAACAAAACATTTTGTCCAAAAACCACTTGGTCGAGGAAAGGGCAAAGGGAAAAGTTCGAAATCTGCAGGTAAATCGTTGTATCCTCTTAAGAATCTAAATATGCTAGTCCAAGGCATTCATTGTTCCCTTATTATTCAGGCTGCGCAACATGTGAACATTGCCACTGTAGCGACCGAGCAAATTGGACAATACGCAAGGTCAACTACGAGTATTATGAAGAGGTTTCTTGATGACGAGCAAAGGCCAGGAAAGCACGTCAGTAATGACCTTATTGAACTTTTTTTGTTTCTGGAATATGCTTAAAACCTAGGTTATTAACAAAGTAACTGAAAACCTTTCCAATAACAAGTCTGATGACAATAATGAGAGTGATCTAACTGATGGTGAGAAGTCACCCACGGAGATGGCTTGTGAGCGCCGAGAAGCATTGTCAGACAGTCGGGATACAATTGTATGTGTGTTCACTGAGAAGGTGTAGTTGTCTATAAGCTATGTGCATAAATTATTATCATGCAGGTCACGGTCCTTGATGGGGAGACGGAGGCTGTTGAAGCACTATTCGAGTTATCGGAACCTGCCACATCTACATCTACGACACCACTGCAAGCTCTCCAGGACTTGACGCCATTGATGGAGACACCCAGAAAGCGGCCATTTCAGAACGAGCAAGTTCATCGGTAGGCTTCTGCCTAAGATTACGTGACAATGGCAACTAATCTCACAAAAAATTCTACTTTTATCTTGTAGCTACTGCGACAATGTTGCAGTTGTTTGTACATTAGGGATGACGGTTGCAGAGATGTCCGCAGAAATTGGCGAAAAACTAGCCAAAGAAATATCCTCAATGCGCGATGTCAAGCCTGCGATTTGGAGTCCTGCTCTAGAGCAGTATATAGATAATGCCATTAAGGTGAGTATCCAGAATGTTTAGCACTAATTTGGCATATATTGAATTTCTTCTACAGAGCAAAACCATTGCCGACTTTAAACGGGTTGTCCTTCAAGAGCTGGCTGAAGACGAACCGTTCTACCTATATTGTCAGAAGATTTTGCTAGATTTGTAGGTTTGCCAATAGCATTCTGTCAGTTTGCAACAAAGATTGCAGAAATACTTATGATTGTATCCCCTTTTCCAATAAAAGTTCAAACCTAGTTGACATTCGCCTGGTCCTCAATAGGAAAATCGGCGAGCGAAAATACATACTCAACTACATAGCACCGTTGTTCAGGTTTTATGAGGCTACCTTCATGACACTCGATTTCGATTGGGTGGAATCACATGCTCGTGCAGCGAAGATGATGAAGTCGTCTACCCACTCAGGCATAGTGAAAGTCGATGCAAAGGTAGAGATAAATATCACATGATTGATATCGCTGTAGACATGAGTGAATAGCACCATTTATAATTGTTTTAACATCCTTGTGTAAAGGCATCAAGATCTTCTGATGGGTTAGAGGTCTGGCATATGGAGGTCTCTGGCCCCCCTTGTGATGCAGCAGGTGACCATATCCTGGGCGATGCCAAGAAGGCCATTCGCACAGACATTCTCAATCTGGTGTCAGTGCTACAAAACCATCTGGATTGTGACATAAATATTGCAACAAAGATCAGGGTTTTTAGCACCCATGCAATTAGTACGTAGCAACCACCTAAAATTTGTTTTTGAGAATGCTAAAAGATGGTATTTTCTGATGATGCTGTTGCTGCTCTCCAGACACCCGCCTGACCCTTTACGCTCTCAGCCTGCTCCCGGATGGACGCTTTCTCGCTATGGAACTCGCTTCTGCCAGTATGCCCTTCAGCTTCAGTGGTAGAAGCCAATACAAAGCCATTCTCCGAATGATGGCGATATTCTATGTATGTGTTTCGATTAACTTGTGGAAATTTTAAAAATTTGATTTAATAAAGCATTATTTATGTAGGACGAGATCAATAAGCAGGAAGAATTGCTGGCGGATATTAATGCAAATTTGATTCGGACAACAACAACAGTCCGTCATATTTTGAAGATTCCAGAGGGATTATGAACAAGATGACTTAAATTATAAATGTAGTGGAAGGTGATTAGTTACAGTCTACTAACATTGAAGTGATTGCAAGCTTGGCAAACACTTGATCACACAACGGAAAGGGGCTACCATTGATGTGCTGTGCTCTCCATGAATTCTTTCCCTAACTTAGTTTTCAAATTTTTTCTGATATTAAAAAATTTTTCAAAAAATTCACTAACTTCTCTTTTTCTTGGATAACAATCGCTTGCCTTTGGCTAATTTTCCATAAAAGAATGAAATTGGAATGTATGGTGCTTTTCCCCATAATACATGTTAACTTAAAGGTCAGTTTATTGCAGAACAATGGTCTTTGCTGAAACTGGTTTGTCGACAACCAAAATATTATGTCCAGAATATCTTTTGTCGGTCATCAGACAGCGGAAGTGCTATCATGGCGATCTATGTGCAGTCCTGCTCACTGATTGGATCAGTTGCTAAAGGTAATTCTGTGCGGCGGTCACGTTTTATCAAGGGAACGCGATGCAGATCATTATTGAGCACGTGAACTCCACTCCGGTTTATTCTCGCCTGTTTCCCTTTCGCGTTGTTCCTAGATTTTCGAATCTTACAACTGGACCTATCTACCATGAGCAGATTTATACTGAAGCGTCAGAACTTGGCTAGCGTGCAATAAATGGAGAAATGCTATCAGGGAAAGTAAATTGTATAGTTTATTGGATCGGAACTGAGTACACCGACTACCCTGCAAACTGTCACGTTTGTTGTGGGAACGACTGTCATGTCTGTTGGTGAATTTGACTCCACGAACCACCTTGCATTCCTTTTTACTGTTGCGTACACCGACTACCCTGCAAACTGTCACGTTTGTTGTGGGAACGACTGTCATGTCTGTTGGTGAGCCATATTCAGCGGTGGGATTGGAATCAAGGTGCTTGCCAAGATTGATATTCAATTATCGAATACAATCCGGGGTGCTTGTTTGTTCGTGATGTTTCCTACTTCGTTTCGTTATAAATAGAGACTAGTAAACACAATATACTATGTGCAACTAATCAACTTCTTCCTTATTATGCAAACTCGGTCAGCCGTATTGAGGAGTTTTGGGAAACTTCGTTTATGATGTCATTTATTGAGGATGTTTTACAAGTGACTAGTTGCTTGTGTGGAGGGTATGTATTATTTTTGCACAATCCTGAGATCATTTTGTTTGTATATCTAAGTGCTTCGCACAGTTAGAATGAAACAACCACCAGCAGCACCAGCATCACCAGTAGCAACACACAAAACCACAACCACCCTCACTACAGTAAGGTAATTTGATCGTGACATTGCGTCTGCATCTAGCTCGAATAGCAACACCTTGACATTCTCACCCTCGACCAACCCAATATGCTCTTCACAGGCTCCACAAGTGATCTCAGCACATGCGACATCAACGGCTCTGCTTCGGGTTTTCTGCAGCCCCTAGACGGGCGGCGAACTCTGAACAATGGTCAACAAGGAAACTCAGACGATGAAAGAATACCCCCTTTGCTGCGTCGAACCAAAGAAGAATAAGCGGATTTGACTAGTCGGCTTTTCGAGATGTCCATGAAAAAAAGTCAAAGAACAAAGTAATAAAATATATATATATGATTATCCGTATATGAAGAATAATGAATATAATAGTTCTACTGAATATGAAAAAGCAATACATTTCTTGGAGATAGGTTGCAACTGTGGTTGCTCAAAAATGAAAAGTTTGCCGAATTACGTGAATCGTTTCAAGCTCTCTCTCTAGATCCGAACAAGATATATTTTTAATGGCCCAACTGAAAGCAATGGATGGTGGAGAAATAACTGCCAGCCGACGTCTTAAAAAGAACGCGTACTAATAAGAGAACCTTTTATTATTGAGATCGCAATACGCCCCTTTGTCAGAAAACATAACTCAATATGTTGGGAATTGGTAACGAATGGTATACGTGGTAATACCGCGTGTTCATAGTAACATAAAACGAATGCAACGATGGAAAACCAAAATAACCATTGGTATAACCGTTGCTACAGCCGTGAAGAATTTTCTCGAAAACTATGCTGAAATACATGGATTACCGAGTCCTGGTAGAAATGTCAATCGCTTGTATTTTTGCCAGCAGAATCGAGTTACAAATCGGTCTATCGCGATTTTATTGCAGGTCTCGAAAACGATAGCACGTTGAATATGATGCGTTCCGCAAGTTATATCGCACAAATTAACCCCCCTTATATTCCAACTATGAGTCCAAGAACGGATTTATGTGATACATGTCAACGTTTTCGGAATGGCTTACCCGTAAGGAAGAAGAAGCGAGAGACTTACTAAAAAAATACAAAGAACATCTGGTAAGGCTAAATTAGAAAGAAATTATTACAACAAAAATACGAAACTAGCAGAAGAGCAAAGAAAATTAGTAGATGAGAATTATCTTGTGACGAGAGGTAAAGTTGATTATTGTAGCGTTGATGCTACTGCTCATTATAGTTACGATTGAGCACAAAATGTTCACGTTCCACATTCCGATTAACAGGTAAGTAAGATCTATTATCTTAGTCCGCGTAAAGTACATTTATTTGGTATACAAGATGAAGCAGTACGCGAACAAATTAATTACGTTCTCGATGAAGACGAAATTATAGGGAAAGGTCCTAATGGTACACTGAGCATGGTTTTCGATGGAATTAAGAAATTGAATAAAGGTGAAAAGTATTTAAAGATTACTTGCGATAATGCGGGGAGGACAGAATAAAATAATGCCACCATTTAATTTTACCTATATTTAATAATTTACAGCTATTATAAAAGTATCGAATTAAATTTATAATACTAATACCTGGACATACTAAATTCAAGTGTGATGGTAGTTTTGGATTGGGTCCGTATTATTTCACCGACAATCATTTCACCGACAGTACATTTCACCGACAATTAACTACCAAAAAAGGATAACTTCGAAATAATGTTAGTGAAGATTTGTCGGTGAAATGATTGTCGGTAAAATGATTGTCGACGAAATGATTGCCTCCCTTTTGGATTGATTAAGAAACTCTATCGAAAAACAACGGTAGATTGTGTGGATCATATCGTTGAAGTTGTGAAAAAATCGAGTACAGCTGGCTTAAATAAAGTTCAGTGTTATGACAATGGAAATTGCTTTCAATACTTAGATCTTAATCCGTGTTGGGGATTTTCTTTAAGAAATTGAGTGGTTTGCAAAAATATCAGCATTTTCTTTTGAAGCAGCTAATCCTGGAATTGTCAAAGCTCAAACAGTTGCTAATTGGTGCATATACAGAATTTAATTTGTTGAAAGTGAGAAAAGCAAGTGTTTCTGAAATTACCAAAGAAATTAAATCCTTTTCCATCATGGTACTAAACCCTCCTCCTTTGGATTACAAAAGACAAGAGTATCTTTACCAAAACATTCGTGCATTGTCAGAGATGAGTTTAAAGACATTACTTGTCCAAAGCCAGTACAAAATGGTTTTGAATAAATTGTACTAAATCATGACTAAGGATTTGTCATGGTTGTAAAATTTAATATTATGGCTAACGAATGCATGACTTGTATAAAAGAGAATTTTCCTCTGGAAAAAGGCCATCTTAAGAGCTTAGTCTCCAATCATGGCACTACGTTTGCTTCTCTTAATCATAGACTCAATGCCAAGTTTCATACTGTAATATTTACCAAACATCATGTTGAAAGTTTAAAAGGTCTAACTAACTAGATATTTTGCCAGTCTTGAAGGAAAGCATTGCTAGAATTGAAAACTACTATAAATACATCAATAAACCGGGTCCTTTAGGTTACAACTTTAGTATACCTAATGGAAAATTAGCAGGTCAAAACCAACCACCTCACTTTTACATGCAAGTAGTTCCCAAGTATAAGAAGGATTGGGGATTTATTGGTGCTGAACTAATGCCTAAAAGATTCTGACTTCTGAACAAAGATGGAGTTGTTGCCAAAAAGAGTAAAGTAGTACTAAATTATATTGTTACGGTCGGGAAACAAAATGGGGTTTTTGGGAGAGCGATTTATCTTTCGTGTAGGTGTGTTCGCCGACCGGGGATGTTACCAGGCTTAGCTCGTACT